TCTCCTGTACACTGTAGGCTGTTTGGCAGCATCTCTGGCTTCTACATGGTAACATCATCCCCCTCCCCCCAAACTGCATTCTCTATTTTGATAACCAGAAATGTCTTCAGATTTGGCCCTATGGGCTCTGGGTGGAAAACAGGTTCCAGTTCAGAATCACTGGATTGGGCAAATATAAAGCTTATCCTGTGTCAGCTGTGTATCCTTTGAAATTTCCACATACTCTGCTTTTCAGAGATGGAAGGATATTGGAAATCAAAGGGCACCTTTTACACAAAAGTGGTGCACTGGGAAAGGAGTCCTCTGAAGGAGCAATTTACAAACTTGCTACCATTGTGGTTATACCATTATTTTGAAATTTCAAGTAACATGTAAGGGTTATTGATTTTTTGGGTGTTTACTAAAAGTTTTTAAAAGATTGAGAAATTGAGATTGACAATTAAGAAATAACCCAGAAAACAATTTCTTTTCTTTATAAAACATGCTACACTAAGAAACTGGGATTTTAGCATTTGAAATCTATTATTGTGAGGATATCATAAAACATTACTACCATTAGAATAATAATAACTACCATTAGAATAATAACAACGGCTGACATTTCCTGAGAGCTTGGTATGTTCCAAGTACTATGCTAAGTATTAACAATATTTTCTTTTTTTTTTTTTATTTTTAAAATATTTTATTTTTTTTTTATTGTTGGTTGTTCAAAACATTACATAGTTCTTGATATATCATCTTTCACACTTTGCTTCAAGTGAGTTATTTTTTTCAAGACTCAAAACCCCACTCGGGAGGTAGTACAAAAGTCTTATCTATATTTCATGAATGAGAAAACTGTGGCTCGTTGTCTCTCCCAGAACCATTTAAAATGCATTTCACAGCTTATTAAAAAATTCACACACACACACACACACACCCACACACACAAAATAACAATGTAAACTAAAGGTAAAATTGATACTAATGAATTCCACAATACCAGAGCAGCAGCCCTGACCACTGTGAACTTTATACAACTCAGCTGACTCATGTGCCTTTTCATTAAAGTGGTGGTGGCTCCAGAGGCTGAGGCAGGAGGATCTGGAGTTCAAAGTCAGCCTCAGCAAAAGGGAGGCGCTAAGCAACTCAGTGAGACCTTGTCTCTAAGTAAAATACCAAACAGGGCTGGGGATGTGCACAGTGGTTGAGTGCCTCCGTGTTCAACCCCTGGTACTGCCCCTGCCCCCCAAAGGACTTAATTATTTTTGGTGACAGGATGTTACAGGAGTATGAAAAATTCACAGAAAGCCTAACTTAAAGGAAGAAATTTCAAATTTAATCTCTAATAAGACAAATGTGTTTATAAGGGTCTATACTAGCTGGTTTGTTCTCTCTCTCTTTCCTTTTTGTACTGGGGATTGGGGAATAAACTCAAGGGTGTCTACTACTGAACTACATTCCCAGACCTTTTCATTTTCCATTTTGTGACAGGGTTTCACTATGTTGCTGGGGTTGGCCTTGAACTTGTGATCCTCCTGCCCCTGTCTCTGGAATTGCTGGTATTAACAGGCCAGTACCACTGCTCTGGCTCCAGCCAGCTTTCTTGAAACACTTACTTATCATACATTAAAAGTGCTAATGTAAATTTCAATGGTTTAAAGTCACAGTAAGAAGCCGTGGCAAAAATACAGTGGCTTACTAGTACTTGAAATAATTGGGGCTTTTTCATAATACTTCCTGGCAGCTACACATTTCTACTCTACCTCTAGTAAAAGGCAAACAGAGAACAGCAGGTATTGTGGCCATTTGGGGTTATTCCTGTTGTTTGAATTCTGAGCTACTTCTGTAATATGGATGATGGACCACCCCCAACAACTCCAGAAGGTGAGCTACCAAAAATAATCTCCTTCCAGATGTAGATTACACATTCGCCCCTCCTGACCCTGTGAAAGTGAAGTGATAGGCACCAGAGAAGCCAAGTAAACCAGCTGCTGCTCCTGCCAGTGACAGGAAATAGCCCATCCTGTCTAGGACTGGCGAGACTGGCATGAATAACAGCTATCTTACTTTCTCAGCATGAACGAGAAATGGAAGTATTTCTTTCCTGGATCATCACAAAGCAAGTGAGTGAGTGGTAGCGTGTTCCTTGAGCAGCTCACTAGGTGATTCTAAATGCTGTCGTGTGTGTGTGTGTGTGTGTGTGTGTGCGTGCGCGCGCGCCATGTGCAGACACTGTGGCACCAATTCTCACCCTGTCTAACTTTGATGGTGGTCATGATGCCTCTTCCACCCATAGATTCCTCCCACATTTCCTCAGGCTGGGTTAGCTGCCCTACAGTATTTCTGCAACCTTAGGGGCAAGCAGATACTGCGGCACAGAGGGAGAATCAACACCAGCTGGCCATGCTCTGGTTGTGTAATGTCTGCCCCACTGACCCAGTTTCTCATCTCTATACGGGAGGATTAATAACGCCCACTGCCATGCTTGTCGTAAGGATTAGAAACAATACTGTACTTAGTGCAGTATTTGTACTTAGTACAGGGGCTTAGTGAGTGACAGTAGTTGTTAATGATGATTACCTTGATTTTTTTTAGTTTGGTTTTAATGGTAGTCCTAGTGTACCTAGGTAAGGTGCTGGGATGTCAGCAGTATTTTTCACTCCATATTCAACTCTGTTGAGTTATAAGTTAAATATGGCTCCATTTAAATTTCTAGCCTATTGGTTTGAAAATTGAGATCTATGTCTGTGTTATGAAATTGACAGTTCCTCCATCAGTAGTGAAAAGTTAAGGATTATGGGTTCTTTAATAGGCCATTCGAGCTCTGAGTTCTAATATTTAAGCTCTCATTTCTGCTATTTTCTATGTATTGCTTGGTTGGTAGGTGTAATGCTTTGTGTACTACCTGATGTCATTTCTACTCTTGAAATTACTATTATTATGCATTATAATTATAAAAGCTGAGCTGGAACATCAAGTACTAGTATTGTGAGTGCTTTTTAAAAATCAAAAGTGTATCTTGTGAGACTTAAAACGGTTAACACAGCAAGGCTGCTGGCTACAAGAGTGCTAAGTTTGGATAGAGTAGTTCTCTATGCCAAAGGCTTTCAAAGAACAACCAAGAGCTTGGAGTTCACTGACAGTTTGCCACTAACGACCATCTGAGCATCCACAAATGAAGAAAACTGAGCCAAATATGACCACCATCTAGTTCAACCCCTCAATATACAGATGACGAAGGCAACGAATAGCATTTGCTTGCCAACAGTGAGTCCACAGTTACAAGGACCTTCTCAATGAAGACTTCACACATTTTAGGTACAACTTTGGAATAATGCTCAAAGAGTTGTGAGTAAAATTTAGGCCCCAGCATGATGCTGTTCTGACTTAGCAACCAACTCAACTCTTCAACACCCATGGATAACCTTTGCTTCAGGGTCCATGTGAAAGGTAGATTCAGGCTTGGAGTCCTTGTTCCCCTCAATTCAGTCTCCCTGATATCTTAGCAGTGTCCCTACATTACAGAAAGATCTGGTAAGGTACAGAGGCCTGAGTGTGCCTGTAACCATAGCTACCACCCAGCTTTCATAAGTGTGATGTCACATCCTTCTGACGTACAGTCGTGGAGGAAGGGGTGGTAGAAATGGAAATCAGTGTGGGGGGGTGGGGTGTTCCCTCAGCATTCGGCTCTCATTAGCTATGGCTCTAGTCATACCCACTTAATTAACAGCAGGACCTTGGGAAAAATATCAGTAAAGGGGGATTTGAATTGTAGTGTCTGGTCAAGGCCCTTTTAGCTGGAAATTCCTATAGTCCTACAATTTTACTCGAAGGGGAAAGATTTCCACCCTCAGCTTAAACATCCATGATTCATAATATATAATATTTTGACTTAAGGGAAGAAGTTTTATTATATTGTGCAGTCTTGGATAGCTAACCCAAAGCAATGTCAGTTACAGCATTACGAAAGCCCACATCCCAGGCAGCTAGACTTCTGGCCGCCTTAACCATTGGGAACACGGCAGGCTGTGACAGAAGTATGTAATTACAAGAAAATTCCATTCACTTAACTCCTGAGGAGTTAGGAGGCATTAGCCTCGATTCTTTTTGGAGCAATTAAGATAAAATGAAGGAAAGAGATTAAAAATGTAGGTTTTCCTGGAGCAGAAGCTCTTCTGGGGATTGTTCACTGGTTAAAGGGGAGGGCCCAACAGGAATGAAATAAAGGAATAATCTGCCACTCCAGAACAATGATCTTTTTACTCCCCCACCCCCCTGCCCTACTTTATCACACAGCGAAATGCTGAGGAAAGTAGATTAACTCCTTCAGGTCAATCAGATCAGGCCTGGGTTTTTAGACAATTACTTCTCACATCTAAAACAAGAAGTGTACCGATTCCCCAGGACTCTATCCTCTCTCTGGCTGGGCTTAGGAAGGTCATTCACACTTTTTGGACAGAAACTCATTCATTAAAAACCCAGGGTTCTTCTACTGTCCTGTGCCATTCTTAGGATTGCATCCCCCTTCCCTCTTGGCCTCAGTCTGGAAACTTCAGACAGATTCCCAGGAACACGAGATAACCACTGCCAGTGGCTGAGAATTGGCACAGAGATTTCTTTTAAGAAGTGTGGTCTTCAGATCCACAGTGGATGAATTAAACTGACATTCAATGATAAACAACTGCTATATTGTTTATACGAGCCATTTCCATGAAAGAAAACAAGACTCCCTTACAAATGGAACTTGTACTTAGGGTCTCTATAATGGTTTCAAGTTCATTATGTTATAGAATTCCAAGAAGCCTTCAAAAGACTTCAAGGTTTGCCTTTTGTTTTCTCATCAATGAGTGAAAAAATGAATTAATTACTGCTTTGAATTTTTAAGAATATATATTCTCTCTCTTGCCTCTGAAAAACAAGACAAAATAGTATTTTTAAGTGATTTCTATGAGAACAACTAGCATGAAGGGTGCTGGCCTGCAAGTCTATGTTTATATTTTATGATATTCAAAGCCTACCTCCTCCTTTCTCCTTCTCATCCTCTTCTTCTTTCAGCAGCTTGCCAATGGAGTTATACCACTTAAATTGCAGTTCAGGGTTGCCATAAACACTACAATTAATCAAGGCACTGTTCCCTTCCTTGACTATGATATGGTCGGTTCTGGTGATGATTACGGGCACAGAGCCCAAGACCACGTCAGTGCCATTTAAAGTGCTGTTAGTCACACTCTCAGCAGTTGCTAGAGTGGACATGAGGATTAAAAAGGGCACAGAAGGTAGAAAGCACAAAGTCAGATGGCTCTTCAATAGATCCATCTTCTTTGCTTGCTCGGTAAGGCAATAGATGGTTTGCCAATGGAATCTTGTCTCAGACAGCACACTGTTCAGAATGGGCCATGGGGCAAACCTGTCCTGGATCCATGGAGTTGGTGCTTGATTAAGAACCTGTTAAAAGAGGAAAAACCACACACACATAAATATTAGCATTTATACTTTCAAATGCTATTTGTAAAAGGATAAAACATTTTAAAAAGATACTCTTTATAAAAAGTTAGCAATCCAGCTAAAATACAAACCCACATCATTTTTAAACAAGACACAAATCCAGAAGGTGTTCCAATGTTAAGTTCTATTTTTCACAGAAATCTTAACAGTATAACTTTGCTACTTTTTGCTGTTAAAACATATAGCTCTTATAGGGCTCGGGTTGTAGCTCAGTGGTGGAGCGCTTATCTTGCACGTGTGAGGCCCTGGGTTTGATCCTCAGCACCACATAAAAATAAATAAATAAAAAATGGAGATATTGTGTCCATCTACAACTAAAAAAATTTTTAAAAAAATATAGCTCTTAGTAGGAACAAATATATTCCTTTTACATTGATGTTACCTTATTTCATGGAGTTCAAAAACTGAGGCTTCTTTCATACAGCATTACAAGGTTTCTTTCTAACCCGTCACCTGTCTTCATTGTGACCTTATTGATCACCGGAGGTGTTTCCTAGTCTCTTCCAGTAAACATGGCTTCCAGCCTATCTCACTGCTTCCTGCTCCAGGTCAGCCAGCATTTGGAAGGACTCTCTGGAATGAGTCTGCCATTCTCAGAACTTGCCATTATGACTTCCAGGACATTCCTTCCCTGCACTTCATGCAATTTCCCCTGCACATGTGAACTCTCTGCCTCCCTCCCTCTCTCTCTCCCTCTCTCTCTCTCTCTCTCTCTCTCACACACACACACACACACACACACACACACACACACACAATCCCCTGGTTTCAATACTCATCTGCCTCCTTGAGGCAGGGGGCATCATCAGGATGTGTGGGGTGGCACTTTGGGTGGCTACGCTTCCATGTCAAAGAGCTAACCTTCACCTACTCAATTCTCCATTCTAATCACTAATTCTGCAGCCACACCTAGTCTACAAATTCTAAGTTCTGAAGTTCCAAGTAATTATGAAGTTCTAAATAAATCATCTTTTAACTGCAATTGGCCATCCTTCCAGATCTTACTCCCCTCCCTAGGCTTTCCAGGTTTTGTTGTGTTTGTTTGTTTCGTTTTGGTACTGGGCCAGGGGTGCTCTACCTTTGAGCTACATCCCCAGCCTTTTTTACTTTTATTTTGAGGCAGGGTTTCCCTAAGTTGCTCATGCTGGCGTTGAACTTGTGATTGTCCTGCCTCAGCCTCCTGTAGCAGGAATTAACAGGTGTGCCTGATGCTTTCTAGCACTTCTGTGTTTCTCAGTCTCTGTCTCTTTGCCCCCTCCTGATCTGTAAGCTTTGTTTCTGTCTCAGTCCAGACTCAAATCATATAGACTACAACCCCCAAATCCTCAGTTCCTGTCCTCATGCCACATGTACTCTGTCAGTCCATGACTTTGATCAAACCTGTTATCCTAGCTCCTACATCCCAGAGGCTGGAACACACTGGAGAGATCTGTAAAACCAAGTAATTATTTCCAAAATGAAGGAATGATCTCCGACCTCACTGGGCCCTCAGTGACATCTGGCAGTCTGCTTGCCAGTGCTCAGCCTGCTCAGTCTCCTGCTTCCTTACTGACATGGGCATCTTCAGCTTGCCAATCAACCATCTCGGCACAGTGGTATTCCTACTTTTTCAAAACAAACCAACACCCCCTTTCTTCTGTACTAAAACGTGCAGGCATGAATTCCCTCTTCCATCTTCCTACCTTTTGGAAAGCATCCTGTGCCTTATGCTAAATCCCTCACCTGCCATTCACTACTCCTCAAACTACCGTTTTTAGAATTTTATCTGCTTTTTCCTTCAACAGCTCTTGTTCAGGGCTACCTGTCACTCCTAGTTACCAAGTTCTCATCCTCTCCTTACCAAATATTTGAGGCAATTGAAACTGTTAACCATTCTTTCTCAAAACTCTCCCAGGCTTCCTCACTCACCTTCCGGATTGCTCTCATTACCTCCAGAGTTTCACTGGCCTCTTCTGTGTTTACCCACAGCCCTTTCCAAGTTCCCATCCCAAGCCTTTGCTCCACTCACAACCTAACAATGCCCAAGTCCACGTTCTCAGTCCTCTTTCTGATTTTAGATTGATGTGACAATTTCCCATTGGTTGTCTTTACCTGGACCCTGGATGTCTTACTGACAATTTCACCCAGCAAAACTGAACTCATCATCTACAAAACATGCCACGTTTCTCGGATGTCTATTTTTAGTTTTAGGGACCACCATTTGTGCCGTGTCTGGGTATATCCTCAATTCCTCCATTGTATGCTCCCAGAACACTGAATCACACATTGTTGATTTCACTTTCTAAATACTTCTTGGATTTGTTCCATCATTGCCATCTCCTCTTATCAAAAACTGTGTGGTGGTAAGCCTCAGTTCAGGTCTCCCCATCTTCTCATGGGAAACCATGTGCCAGCCTTCCACATAATCTGCCCACCTTCAGTTTTTCTTGCTTCCCATCCTGTCCCTATAACCACTGCTGGAGGTACCAATCTATTACCTGGATTTTTTTACTGTGGTAAAATTGGCCACAGTGCCTGCATTATAAAATCTGAATTTCTTTGCTTTTTATCAATTCAAAAATATTTACTGAATATCAATATTTTGGGTCCTGAGGAGACAAGAGAAGACAAGAAAGACCTTGAAACAGACGACAGATGAAGTACATGTGTCAACAAGGATTTCAGTTAGTGATGCACACTTTGAAAAACACACCACAATGTGCTCAGTGCTGAGTGAGGCAGTCAGGGAGGACTCTCCTGAGGAGGTGGCCCCTGAGCCAGGACCAGTGATACTAAGACTGGGGTGAGGAGTGCTTTGAGAAGAACAATCAAAGCAAATACCCAGGTGAAGCAAGCAAGGGAAGGAGCACTGCAGGATGGGCTGGAGAAGTGGACAGACCTAGATCACCTGAGACTCCGTAGGCCAGAGTAAGGAGTTTGGATGTTATTCAATGATCACTGGGAAATTCTATGCCAGGGAGTTACAGGGTATTATTTCTTTTTAAAAATCAACTTGACTGTGGTATAATTTATGTATAATAAAGATGCCTATTTTAGGCATGCATTTTAATGAATCTTGACAAATTTACACATCCATGTACCTACCACCATCAACAAGATGCAGAACATTCCTATCACCACTAAAAATCCCCTGGCGCCCCATCCCAGTTTCAGTGTTCCTATGGGTCCAGTGCTGTTATTTCTGAGTATTCTCCCAAAGAGTTAAGTTTCATTTTCTCCCCATATGGATATCCAGTTGTTTCAGGACCATCTGTGCAAAAGATTCTTCTTTCCTCAATGGACTATGTTGTCTTCTTGTCAGAAACCACCATGGATGGGCAGGTCTGTCCCTAAACTCATTATTACATTCTGCTGATGTGTATGTCCATCCTCATGCCAAAACTACATGACATTGCTCCCAACACACAGGATGTTCCGTGAACTTGCTGAATGAACACAGATCTATCCAAGGGCAGAAAGGACGATTCCATTTGGTATGCAATCCCTGGTGGTAATAAATTAGCTTTAGACTGCATAATTTTTCAGTAGAAGAGAGTTTCCTTGGTGGGTGGATTTCCATACTCCCCTCCTGACTTCACTGCCTGAGTGCCTTAGTGACCAGCACATCTCCCTACCAGCAGAAACCCTGGCAGAGGGAGATAGCACAAGCTGCGGTTGCACCCCAGATACTGCTGTGACTCTGGAAATGTATTTCTTTACTTGGCTGAACTTGTGGTTTCCTTTTATCAGGCGGCTGTAAGCTGACATATTCAATATAGAAGAGTCATCAAGAGCACAGCCTCAGGTTTTAGACAGAAAGGGCCAGGATTGGGGTCCTAACCACTTTGATTGGCTGTGTGTATTTTGGTTAAGTACTTAACCAAGCACAGGATAATGATAAAGATTCGTGATCAAATGTACATCAAATACTTATTGCTTGGCTTGATAAACAAGAATTATTAGCAGCATGTACAAAGCATCCTTTACCGGAACTGGGCTTCTTCAGTCTATTTTTAAGTTATGTCATTTAAAAGACATACCTTGTTTGGGTTTTGTTTGATACTTTCTTGACTATTGTCCCACCCCCAGAAGTCATTACAGATATCCAGCACAGGGTCCTTTGCAGGGACTCAAGTCTGAAAAAGTGTGAGCTGTCCCTCTGAGCTCAAATTACAGTGAGTATCCTGAAGGCAAGAGCTGGGGTCACTTCTCTTTGACTCCTGATGCCTAGGCCAGAGAAGATGCCTGACTAAGTACCTCGAGCTGAGGGAAAGAGAATCAGAGACAAGACACGTAGGAGATAGGTCCTAGCAAATACGTGGAATTAATACACATTTTTTTTTCACCATTAGGGAGAATGTAACAAATGCAAGATCAAACTGAATTTTAAAATGTATAAGTCAAGAGCTATTTTCAAGTTTTGGTGTTTTACTTTAAAATACAGTGTGCTAGCAAGAATAAAAAGAAGGGGTTACTGCTGTGCTACGATATTTTAATAATGTCAGTAGGCACTTTGGGCTGGAATATTGACTATTCAGAAGTGGAAACTAGTTTCTTAGAATCCTCAAGAGGTACAGAGACAGAGATGTGCTCATTTTAATGTGGGAAATGGTTTCCCCTCTCTTCTCCATTCTTACTCCCATCCTGTACCATTTTAAAGTTACTAAGGGATAGAAAATGATGCACAATTTACAGACTGTATTGAAGCATTTTTAACTCTAAAAACTGTGAATATCTATTTTTTAAAATAAAGCATTGAATTGACTACCATAAATGAATTAATAGTTTTAGTAAGAATTCACTGTATCATGTACCATACCCTTTCAGTTGTGATTCAAAAAAAAAAAAAAGCATTTGTTATGTGCTGGGCACCCTGCCAGGGACTTAGGGGCTAGGGAATGCTACAGAGCTCAGTAACTCATAGGCCACATCCACTCATGATCCAGCCAGGGGTAGAGAGA